GAAGAGCGTTTCAGAGGCTGATTTATGACATAAGGGTATGATCATGTTAACAAGTTGTAGTTAATGTGAAGTAGTAGGTGTTAGATGGACAGAGAAGACAATCTGTCTCACATTATCTTGAATTTGCTGTTGAGTAAGTGCAGTGCTTTAGAACAGTTACATATAGCCACTGATGCTTTTTATCTTGTTATCCTTGAATTTCTTTTTTTTTTTTTTTTTTGAGATGACTTATTTCCAAGTTACTGGAACAGTTTGCTTGGTGTCTGCATCTTCACTGTCTACAAAAATGACAGTTCAATACTATTGGACCACTAAAATGTGTTGTGCTTTGACTGGTAGGAATTCTAGGGAGGTAATGCCTACTAGAAAAAATGTTAAGTCAGTGAATAATTCATACGATTTCTTCAGTAATTTTCCTTCTGAGAAAGGTCCTGCTAACTAGAGTATTCCACAATCAATTTGAAGACAGCAGTTCAGTATTACTCTTGACATCTTGAGGTAGGTAGGTAAGTCTTTTCCTGTTTCTCCCACAGGTCGAGCGGACCCAGAGTGCATGCTTGGTCACTTACTGAGGATACTTTTCAAGAATGATGATTTCATGAATGCGGTAGGTTTGCTCTGAGAACTGTATCTCTCAGTTTGTGACACCTTCTTATGGTTTTTGTTTACTTGTGCTGGTTGACCTCAGTACTTGTTTAATATTTATTTTACTGGTGTAGGGACTATCTCTTCCATAGTAGTGGTTTTTAAAATGGGTTTAAGTGCAACTCATTTGCCACTGTTAAAGCCACTAAGGAAAGGGGACTTTATGAACTGTTCAGGAGTGCTGGAATATGTGTAGTAAGAATTGAATTAGTTCTTTTCAAGGTTTATCAGTCTCTTTAAAGAAAATGTAGCTCCTCTAATACAAGTTTAAAAGCATAATTAATTTCTGTAATGGAAATTAATACCACTAATTCCAATGCCTTGTCTCTGACTACTTGGAAATGCTGGACTGCCTGTAGGAGCAGAGGAGTATGTCAGCTCTAGAAGACTCAGGCAGAGGATTAAGAGGCAAGAGTCTGGCTTTCCTTTTGCACTGTTGTCCTCTAACATGAGTTAATAGCTAGAATTTTTGTTACCCTCAGCTCCCTGCAGGTACCTGTATCCGTACACATTGCTGTAAGGATTCTGACGGATTGCTTGCATGTAGCTTTCTGTCTTAAACTGCAAGCAATAAGCAAACACAGATGGCATTAAAAATGTGCATTTTTTATGTTAATTTTTTTCAGCTATTACCTTTTCATGTTTACACTGTTACTGAACTGTAGGATTTTTTTAGGCATTTGTCTTTACAAATCAGTTCAAGATAGATATTTAGTCAGTGAACAGCAGATCAGAGGAGAATTCTGTTTCTCTGACAAGTAATTTCAACTTCTGAGGCACTGGAGGGAGCAGGTTAAAGGCTAGTTGTCTTTAGATCCAGGGCTTACATACTGACATTTCTTTACTCTTTTTGCTGCTGTGGGAGTTGTAAGGCTTTCACTGCGCTGGTTTTGGTCAGAGTTGAATTTCAAACCAATGCTGTTCCTGATCTTCTCTAGCTAGTGAATGCTTATGTGATGACAAGCAGAGAACCTCCATTAAACACTGCTGCCTGCCGACTTCTTCTGGATATCATGCCGGGACTGGAAACAGCTGTTGTCTTTCAGGAAAAGGTATCATCTATACTAAGGCTTGGTTTTTAAGTTTGGTGTGTTATGTACTCCAACAGTTCTTCCCACAGGGGAAACAGTAAAAAGCCATATTGAAATCCTGTCTCTGGGAGACAACCTATTCAATCTTACTAATGGTTTGGGACTTTTTGATGTTGGCTTGTTCAGCTGATTAAGTCTTGGGTATTTTGCAGCTTGTAAGGTATAACGGGACTGATTCAAACAGAGGAGCTAGAACTTGATGTAGTGTTTTGGGAAATGTTATACTTTGAATTCTTATTTCATAGGCTTGTGAATGGATTAGGCTGTATAGGATGTGAAGACTTGCTGTAGTCGTCTTGCCCAGTAATCACCAGCTACAGCAGAGCGATAGCATTATTAGAGCTAGCTGATAAGCAAGTCATACTTTAACTAAGCAGTCTAAAATCTGCATGCTTTGTGGGGATTATCTGGAACCGTGATGGACAGCTGAATCAGATTTCTTTATGTTGACAAATGTGGTTTTCTGAAGGAATGCACAGTGTTGAAAGTGAGGAGAAAGTTGGTTTCACTCCTGAGCCCCAGTTCCCTCATCTGTAAAAATTAATGTAATGTTTTTCTGATGTTTGGAAATCAGGTAGGGCTTTATATAAAAGTTCCAAATTAGTTTCTTTACTATTGGAAATATGGATATGAACTCTAAAGTATGATAAAAGGAGAGAATTATGTGCTCCCCTTGTGAAGGATTTAATTTAGTTTGAGATCTTTGTGATCTGTCCAAAGGCTAAGGCTGTGAGACTTTGATCAAAAAAAAAATTCAAAGCAAAACAATGGTTCCCTATTTTTGGAGGATACAGCTTTTTTTCAGAAACTAAATCTCTCTGTAAACTGAAATTAAATTTTTAAGTTAAGTTTTGCGCTTAAGGACTTTTTTTCTTTTGACTTGAGAATATATAGAGTTCTGTTATGGCACTTTGGGTTCCTGTATGTAGGAGGCTTTAGGATAGCTCACAAATCCGTTTGGAGAGGATACTGTTCTGGTCATAAAGAGGTCCTCTAGCGGCCAAGGTATTTCACATTGCATCGATTTTTTTTTTTTTTTTTTTTTAATGACATAAGAGCATTTAAATAATAATGCAATTTTCTTTAAATATGTAACAGGCAGCTCTTTAAAAATTTGTAAGCTGAGAGTTCTCATTGAAATGTATGTCTCTTCATTATTACCTTTAACTGACCTTTTATTGTATTGTATCTATGATACAAATTATGTGCAAGATTCCTGTCATAATGATGTGTTGTTGTATGGTGTTTCAAAATCCAGTAGTGATTTAGAGGGGAAAAAAAAGAATCTTTTGTTCTAACCCATTGTCTTTTAATTGACTGTTTTAATTTTAATTAACACTTATCCAGCCTTATTAAGAAAAATTGCATGGCAGTCTGTGTTCAAACACTGCTGATTTTGTTACTATTGAAAATATTAACCATGTTTAACATTAAGATTTGCATATGTGCAGATTGGTATACTTGCATGCATTTCTCTCTTCTCCAAACATTATGGATTTCTATGTTGAGAATCGTTCTTTTGGTTGGTGAGTAGTCATTAGTGTAAAGAGTTCCTCTGGCACCAGGTAGCTTGCTTATTTAAGTGACTCTTCAGTTTAGCCCTAGTAAGCTTTTAGTGAAATGGAAGAAATTTAGCCAAATTCCATTCTACCTGGTGTAAGTTCAACACGGCTTCTTTGAAATCTGGTAAGTTGCTGGAGATTTATATTAGTGAAACTCACAGGAGCTTTGGGCTTGTTTGTTTATACCTGTAGTGTTTTGCTACTTCCTAGTCAGTAGGTTGACTGGCCATTTCAGAAGATTTTTGCAGGTGTGTAAATCCTGATTCCAAATATCTGATGCTTGGGAATAGTTTTATGCTGCTTGAAATGTTAGATTCCGTGCCCCCCCCCCTCCCCCCGATATTTTTAAATCTTGATTCATTACGTAATTGGTAGGAAAATCTAGCCTGCTCATTACTAGAGATCGGGAGAATTGTTACTAACAGATGCTTTTACTGGGACTGAGAAGTTAAAAATGAAATATAACTGTTGGAATTGTTTTCTTATTTTCTTCATTCTAGGAAGGCATAGTTGAAAATCTCTTTAAGTGGGCACGGGAGGCTGATCAGCCGCTACGGACATATGCAACGGGGCTATTAGGAGGAGCTATGGAAAACCAAGATATTGCTGCAAATTACAGGGACGAGAACTCACAATTGGTAATGATCTATCAATCACTTTCCTTTTTTAGAGGGCAGATACCTTTACCTTTTTTTTTGTGGGGAGCTCACATTCATGAGTTTATATATGGGTCTTACAGTGGTTATAATAATATCTGTAAGAGTCCGTAGCTCATGCTTTCCATCCTCTCCTGACCATGCATTTGCTGAGGCTGCGGCCTGATTATTCTGTTATACCAGTTGTGTTAAAAATGCCAATGGAAACCTAAGGCGGCAAATACTATACTTTTTAATGGGACTCATATTCATAGCTCCCTTAAAGAAAAATTTTCAGAAGCTTTACATCCATAACTGTTGCACATTGTGATTTACATACTGGACAGAGATCTTAAAATGAAAGGTAAATCAGCATGGGGACAACTTAATATGAAATTGCATTCACTTCTGTTGTAAACCTTTCACCAGCTTAGTGTTGATTCTGTGTGATGTTTATCAGCAATTGAGATGACTTTTGGAAGAAGGTAGGATAGGCAAATTTGTCTCCCAGGATGGTGTATAGTGTGTTGAAGCATAGGTGTGAATTTTAATTCTTGCACAGATAAGGCCTTTAAAAGTAAAAGCATGGCTTTAGCTTTTGTGGAACTGCAATTTATCAAAGCTGCTGCTTCAGAAGGGGATGTTGCCTTTCTTCTAGGCTAGGGAGAGATGATGGAAGAATGGTGGAAGAAGGTATGTGGTTCTGTTAGCACAAATACAGCTCATCTGCTCTTAATGGCTTTTAAGCCACGTCTTTCTCATTCAGGAGACTAGGTGCTGGTATTTTAGAATGAAAGTAGCTGTAGCAAAAAGGATTGGGTTTTCTTATTCACTTTGAAATCATTATTTCTCTGGGCAAATGTACACCACAGCATGCTTGACACTTAATGCTGTGGAGTTGGTTATATGATAAGGACAAAAAATATGGACAATGTGAGATGCGTGACCAAAGTCGGAAGTGTATTCTCATGCATTCTTTTCTGAAACAGGTGGCTTTGGTGCTTCGACGGCTACGAGAATTACAGGTTACTGAAATGACTACAAAACAAGAAAACAAGCGTCCCAGTCCTCGGAAAGTGCCATCAGATCCTCTGCTGCCTCTAGATGAAGAGGCTGTGGATATGGATTACGGGGAGATGGCAGTAGATGGAGAGCAAGAGGAAGTTTCTGGGGATATGGAGATCTCCTTTCATCTTGATTCAAGTCACAAGACCAGTAGCAGAGTAAACTCTGCTACAAAGCTAGATGATGGGGGACTGAGAAAAAGCAAATCAGGGAAACAGCATGAAAGAGATGGCTTCCGGAAGGCCAAGCAAAAGCTGGGCTTCTCTGCTTCAGAACCAGAGCGGATGTTTGTTGAACTGTCCAACAGCAGCTGGTCAGAAATGTCCCCGTGGGTGATTGGCACTAATTATACACTTTACCCTTTGACTCCTGCCATAGAGCAGAGGCTAATTCTTCAGTACCTGACTCCCTTAGGGGAGTACCAAGAGGTGAGCATATGAAGGTGGGAGGAAGCACTCTGTGCTTGAATTCTGCTTACAAAACTATGAGTGGTACTGTGGGGAAAAAATTGCAGAACTGTTATATCGCTCTCTGATGTTTCCTAATATGATTAAGATCAGTAACCTTTCCTGAGTTGTTGATGACTTTCAAATTGATGAAGTCATTAGTTTGAATATTACCTAGTAGGTAATACTCAAACCCTGAACCTAGCAGGTGTGTGGTCTAGTAGTTGGAGCATGGGACTAGGAATTTTATTTCTGGTTTGTGTTAAATTTGGTGATTGTTTACATGCCACAGGGCAAGTCACTTTGTTTGAAATACAGACATTTTTCCCGTTTCCTCTGGGGGATGTGATAGACTCCCTCAATTAAAAGTCTGAGGAAATAATGAACTTGAAATTCTAAATGAAGTGGTTTGTGTTTACTCTGCAGTAGTTCTGACGAGAAACGGCAGTGCCCATGTTATGCAGATGCTTTTGAGAGCTGTTGTTACTTACGTGGACAAAGTAGTTGGGCAGCGTCAGATTTACCCAAGTGTGTTCCCTTTTTTTTTTTTTTTTTTTTTAAAAAACATAACACTCAAATTAGCATAGGTCTGCAGGCCACCTTTATCTCTACCTAATCTTTTTTTAGGTGGTTTAACTTAATTTGAAATAGAACAAAGCAACACAGTTTTGCTTTGTGTTATATGTTATGTGTGTGTGCCTTGCTTCTGTGAGAGCCAAAGAAACCATTATCCCCCTAATACCCTGCATGCTGACTGGATCACTTCATATGCCAGCAATAATAGGATATAAAAATAGGAATTAATACAATAAAGCTGTTAGACAAAGAATTATGCGAAGGGTTTTGGTTTGTTGCCCTGCTCTCCTGTTTTTTCTGTTCAGTTGTTGGGTAGTTGTCTTTGCACAGATGGAAAGTGGAACCTATCTCCAGGGTGGTATCTGTGTGGACTTGCCATAGCCGCACTTGAAGGAGAGTCTTAAGATTTCCGTGTGGCAGCTGTCATGCACCTTGCTGCAGTCAGCAGATGTATTACAAGAGGTCTGTTAACCTTTATTGCTTCCTATGGATGGAGCTGGTTACCACTGACCTCTCATAACAGGTATCTGCCAATAGGGGAAAAATTGGGGGTTTGAGAGAGTAAAAACCAAAACAGACCTTGTATTTCCCATGAAACGTTCAGCTAGTTTCCCATTTTTATTTTTCTCAGCTACTGCCCATCTTTATGCAACTGGGATCAAGGGAGCTGATGATGTACTACATCGATTTGAAGCGAACCAACGACGTGCTGCTCACTTTTGAAGCCCTTAAGGTAAATTACTTTCATAATGCATAAAACATACCATAAACATTGTAAAAGCATTGAATATGTTTGCTGCATGTGTCAAAGGCAAATGCTCACCTTCTTTAGGCCTGTGTGTCTTGCAGCATTCCCTGGGATTGGAATTGGCTTTTGCTCAACTTGAATGTATTGCAGTTTTCTTTTTATAACTCTCAAATATTTAAAACAAAAAAAAGGGGGAGGGGATAAGTGTCATTAATTTCACCTGTCACCTACCTATCTGAAGATGATAAAAATCCCTTTTTCTGTCAAATGCTTGTGTTCCTGCTGCCCTTATTTTGTTCCACTGCCTGTCATCTCAAGGGACATTTGTGTAAGAAGCATAAGCATCTTACTCCCAGAAGCCCCAGCATGACATCTTTGAGCTTAATGTTTGAAATACAATAGCTTTGTGTGAGTAGTCTTTAGGTTACCTCTCCGAGGCACGAAACCACACAAAATAACCTTATTCAAACCAAACCTGCAGTGCAGCAGCACAAGCTACATTTTTCTGTGTGTTGTTTCTATCTTTCACAGTAACTTCTCTGCCTCTGGTCCTCCAGTGTCATCTTTCTCTCTGTTTCATTGTCATTTGTCTGAGAATTTCTTTCCAAAGAGCAGTGTTCCTACAAAACGTGTAGGTTACCTCAGTTTGGGAGTGGGGTGGGGTTTACAGTGGTTCTTACTGTTTCCTCTTAAGGTGTTGGTAATACAGAAAAGTGTAGTAAACTTCAGTGCAGCTGCAGACTTCAGTTTTAACAATAGCCTTTAAACTTAATTTTGTAAAATTCTTCTTGCCAGCAATATGGCACACACGAAGTTTGAATGCAAATTTAAATATTTCTTAGTGATCATAGATAGTGTTAATGTGAAAAGAATAGGAAGACTTAATGTGGCCTATTGGATAACTTCTGAGTTGCTCTGCTTTTCTTGTATTTCTTTTGTAATATGTGTAAAACAAAGTGATAATGCCTTTTTTGCTTTTGTCATTGGGATAAATACTATGTTCTGCAGTTAAACATAATGGGAGGAGGAAATAAGGTGGACAAAGCACGGAGTGCTTGTTTTTTCTGCCATCTGTTTTTCTGTGGGGCGAGGGATGGAATTGATGACAGTCTGAAGAATTCCAGTCTAATCAGCTTTTATCCTTCCTTAGCATTTGGCATCATTGCTGCTGCACAACAAGTTTGCAACGGAGTTTGTTGCTCATGGAGGAGTGCAAAAGTTGCTGGAGATTCCTCGTCCTTCCATGGCAGCAACAGGGGTCTCCATGTGCTTATATTATTTGTCTTACAATCAAGATGCCATGGAGAGGGTAAGAGGCATCCTTTTAATATAACTGTAGTGATTCCCCTCATTTCTTAGTGTTTCTACCTGTGTTCAAACAGTGAATAAACATCTCCTAAGCTAAAAAGCAAATTTATATGGAAGACTTTGGTATGTGCAGAGGCAATAGGAAGTATATAAATAATGGTGTATTTCAGTGTTTTGTTTCAAGGGTGTGGATTTCAGTTCCTAGGGAATTAACTGAAGACCTCATGTCATGTCGGCATTGTCTCAATACTTCCATCACCCTTTTCATTTTCCCTCAAAAAAAAAAAGGAAAAATTCTTACAGTCTCATTTGTCTTTCGTTTTCTGTCTGTTCCAATGGACTCCTATACCTGAGATTATTTTTTTCCATGCACAGTCCCAGTGTGGATAGCTTCAGTGTTACACTATACCTCAGTCAGATTCCAGGCAGCAGCACAGCTTCTGTGGTGGTGTTAGAATGCAGCAGAAGACTAATGCAGCTCTGGTCTGCATTGTGCAGAAAATCAAATTAAATGACTGTAAGGGTTCTCTGTGGCCTGAGCTTATAAATATTAAAACAGCTGATAATGAAGGTAAAGTTCTTCACCTCAATATTTTAACATAGAAAAAAATTCTTAAATCCTCCTCTCAGCTCAGTAGCATTCCTCCAGCAGGCATCCCTTCGGGCAGGTTGATATGGCAGTCCATGCTTAAGCTTCAGCTTCACAGGTACTTGAAGCAGTGATTCTATTTCCTTTTTTATTTTTTGTACTGGCAGTAGCACGTAGGTGCTGAGCCAAATCTAGGAACTGATCTGGTTTATTATAAAGTTGCTACTATTCAAGAAAAAAAGATGAACTTTCAGCTTGTGAGCATTAGTACTGGCATATGGGAGCATCCTGCTCTAAGATTCATTCAAAGCAACTGCGAAGTTGTAGCTTTAAGCCTCCCAACTCTGCTCTGCTTTGAATGATGGCTTTTGATTCCTGGTCTGTCCCTGGCATTGTCTAGTACTTTTTTTGTAGCTGAAAATGGAAGCAGTTAAACTAGTAACTGTATGTTTCTGCTTATTCTTTCCTAGTTTTTGATGCTATCTGAATGTGTGTTGTGATTTAATGTGCTTAACACTCTTGAGCATCTAGAGGCTGGACTGGTAGTGGTTGTTTAAGGCCGTATCTGTATGGATCCAGCTGCCATTTGTATTCTGCCAGTATTTCCATGAGCGAGTTCAAAAACCTTTTGGTAATCACGGTTGATCAGGGCTGTCTGTGCCCTGTACAACATCTTCCTCATGAAGGCAAGAAAGGTGAAATGAGTGTAACGTTCCCTCCGCTTCTTTTTGCCTGTTATGTCAGAAAGATGGACCCTGGCTGCATATTGAGCTGCTTTGGTGTTTCTCTGAACTTTGTCATGAGAAAACTCTCTACGTTCCCTTTTTTCCTTCTGTTTTTTTTTTTTTTTTCTTCCCTGATTCCACTTCCTGCTTGCATGGTTGTTTAAAAGGAAAATGAAAAGCCATGACAGGGTGCTGTATGAGGATTCATTCTGCTTGATGTCCTCAGGCCATGTCATAAAACCATGCAGCTGTTTTGCAGTGACACTGTCTCATCTGCCAGATGTTATCCCCAATATCTACAGATACCAGGTAGAGCAGGTTTCTGTGGTACATTCTTGTCTTTGGATTTCAGAGGAAGCCAGTTTCAAGGGGCAGTCCCTTGTCACTTAATCCATGCCAAGTGTCGGGTCTTGGGGTGGAAGCAAGGCTGGAGCTGATAGCACTGTATTTTCTGAGTATGTCCAACACCAGCAGAGAAGAGATGAAAAAATCTGCTAACTTGGCATATAACAGCTGGTGTCAGTGCTTTAGTTCCCTGTGCTGTTCCTCTTGGCGCTGACCCTGGCAAAGGGTTCAGAGTTCCTCATCATTAGAAGCTAACAAATGTATGCAAAAGTGCAGCTCTGAGTACGTGGTCTGCACATCAGAAAAGAAAAAGACCAGCTCCGTTGTCTATTTCCAGAAAAAGTCAAGCTTTAGGTTTGCATTTGATGATTCTTGCAATTCCCGTAGACTTCAGTGCTACCAGAGTTTGCTAGAACTTCAACCTAGCATATGATACTGTTACAGTGAGAATAATTTTTGTTTCTTCAGTGGAAACTTTTCTTCCTCTCTGCCTCTAGTAAATCATTCTTTGGATAGCTTGAAGTGTTACAGAGAAGGACTCTCTGGAATTATACTACATTAAGACCGCTGTATTTACTGTGTTTAGGTCTGGGAATGGACCAATTGCTAGTCCTGCATTGCCACATCATGCCCTTTATTAGTCTCACTGGGGTGGTTTTTTTACTGGTCGGGAAATGGTATATCCAAGACATGAAATAAAATGTCCCAAGTCAAGCTGGGAGTAACTGATAATTTATCCTCTGTCTGTTTGCCCCTCAAAGAACCCTCATTCTCTTTGGACAAATTCTCTTCAGCAATCTGTTTGAAGTCCTTCTCAAGAATGTTCTTTTGCTTTCTAGGTGTGCATGCACCCTCATAATGTGCTTTCAGATGTAGTAAACTACACCTTATGGCTAATGGAGTGCTCCCATGCCTCAGGCTGCTGCCATGCTACCATGTTTTTTTCCATTTGCTTCTCCTTCCGTGCTGTCCTGGAGCTCTTTGACAGGCATGATGGCCTTCGACGTCTGGTTAACCTGGTAAGGCTTGTAGTTTTATGTGATGAACAGGGTTTTAATGTCAGGTTTTGCACCCCTTACAGTACAACTGGGGAGAATTCTGTTCTTTTTTTTTTGTTTTGTTTGTTGGGTTTTTTTCCTCCTAAATTCCCAGAGATCGAGAGGTGGGGTGAGTTTTTGAAGCAACAGACAAGTGGATCCCTTCATCTTTATTCTTTTTCTTATTATTGTGATCATTGTCCAGAGACTTGCTACCCTTTGAGAGCTTTTTGGTGCAACTCTTGAGTTAAGGAGCACTTACTCACACAGTGGTGGCTTAGCAGTAGTTAAAACGTTTCTTGCCATTCCACACACGTGTGGTATTGCCATGCACCCTTTTGGATGCAGATACATCCACCCTTGTTCCAGGAGGGGTACAGCTGTGTTTTTGCTGGGGTAACTGCAGTACCTTATGAGCACAAATTACACTGTTCATGTACAAAAGCTGGTATGTCTGCATGGTATTGCTGTGCAGTCCTAATAGCTTGGGTTGGTACTAACTCGAGGATGTCAGCACTGCAAGGTGTAAGCGCACTTTGTGTTGTGTAATATAATGCCTAATAGTATTAGGCACAACGTTGCTGCCAGATCAACATTGATGTAACTTCTGGATTATTTTTTTTTTTTCCCATAGGTAGTGAAGGAGGGGGAATGGTTCTTTTTAGACTTAACTATTTATCCACGCAGATAGCCTTTTCTGTTCAGACAGCTTTTGTCAGCTCTTAGAGAGCGTGCTTGTATGTCTAGTATAGCAAAGTAAGTTTGTTTGAATTTAGTACAAGTGCATCTGAGAATTGTAGGTGCTTTTTTTTCCTGAAGAGTGAGCTGATGCAACTTTTTTTTTCCCCCTACCCAACCTCTTTCTGAAGATAAGCACACTTGAGATCTTAAACCTGGAAGACCAAGGAGCCCTCTTGAGTGATGATGAGATCTTTGCCAGTCGCCAGACTGGGAAACACACCTGTATGGCCTTGCGTAGATACTTTGAGGCTCACCTTGCTATCAAACTTGAACAGGTGAAGCAGTCACTCCAGCGCACTGAAGGTGGCATTCTGGTCCATCCGCAGCCCCCCTACAAGGTAAGTGCCATGTTGCAAGCTTTTAACATGGTGATTGCATTTTTCAAGCAAATCCAAGCTGCAGAAATATGTGGATGTCCTTTGAAGCCAGTGGAATAACTAGGCAATGTGCAATTTATAGGGATAGGGATTTTTTTATTTGTACTTTTTTCCTGCCTTGTGGCATGACACTGCAATAGAAAAATACAGAAGAGCCTTTGAGGTTCATGTGAACTACATTTGATCAAGGTTCCTGCTCATCTGCTGTGGTTCCCCTTCCACCTCTCAAACTTAAATTAAAGGCAGGTTGTTTTTGATACTTGTGGGGTTTTCTGTGCTTTTAATCTCTGAAAGGACAAAATCTATATGTATAGAAAAGTGCATAATGTTGAAAAACTTGGAAATAAGTTTGATTTGATAATGACAATTGATATGTATCTTTTGGAAACCATAGTTTCTAGGAATTACCTGGGAGATTCTTGTGTTGGCCATGATTTTTTTTTTCCTACTTTCTCTCTGCAAAGTGATTTTTTTTTTTTTTTTTTTTTAAAACTGAGTTTTATTGCTGCTTGTTTTGAGGGAGCACATCCGCCTGTGGTTTCTGGTTTAATTTATGATGGTTTTCTAGAAGAGCTGAAATGAGAAAACATAACGGTTTTTTTGCTTCTGCAAAAATCACTTATTTTCAGTAACTAAAGAAATGTGTATAAGCTATTGCCACCTTATGTAATTTAAAAAGAAATTATTGAAAGGCAAGTGTGTTAGGAATTTCTGTTTTTCTTTAGTATGTTTTGTAGTCAGAACTTAGAAACTGTAAATGGATATTTTTTGCAGTCTTTTTTAATACTTTAGCATAAATTTATTTTGAATGATGGTCTAGTAACTACTAGATTAGTAGCTTAAAAGCAGAGTAGAATTTTAATTTTATGTAACTTTTTTCTTCTTAAATTGGCCTAAGCCTTCTAGGGCTGCAAAGAAACTTAAAGGATATTATTATTAAGCTTGTTATTGTATATTATAGTGACAATTGCTGTATTCTTTTATATTTGGGAAATAAAACAGAAAGTAAATACTTAATCCGCAAGGAACAATGGTAATCTAATCTTTGCGGATACAGTTTTCAGCTAAATCCTAGCAGTGGGGGACTTGATGTGCAAGTCTGTCACCCCTGTGACCTCTCTTCAATGCTTCCAACTCGATTCCCTGCAGGCCTGTTCGTATACTCATGAGCAGATTGTAGAGATGATGGAGTTCCTGATTGAGTATGGTCCAGCACAGCTCTACTGGGAGCCAGCAGAGGTTTTTCTCAAATTGTCTTGTGTCCAGCTCATGCTTCAGCTCATTTCAATAGCGTGCAACTGGAAGACATACTATGCAAGGTGAGCTGTTTGCTGTAGTACTGTATTTTAGTGCAGTAAGTTGTGACTCTTAGGCCGGATGTTAAATTTCTAGATTTTCTACCTCTCTGATAGCATTTAAAACAGGCACATGCTGGTTAATGCTGTTAGGGCTTGTGCTGTGGCTACACAGTGCTTGTGAAAGTTAACACCATGGAAGCAGGACTAAAATCTTGAGGTAGAGAGGGATATCATGAGATTTCTGAAGAGCCAAAATGCCTCAGGCTTTGGATCTCAGAGAAATCAGCATTGTAGTAGAGCTTAATCGCAATTTTGTGCCACTTTCTATCTGTCTCAAAATGTGTTTACCTTTTTGTTAGAGATAGGCTAGAAAACCTTCAAAGTGGAGGGTAAAATCAAGACATATCTTAATCCTGGAAAGAGGTGGAATATCTATTTGGATGTAATAAGTTTAGCTGACTCAAGAGAGGACACTGTATCACTTTGTTGATTTGTTGGTATTTGAATTTTACTGAGCAGATGTAACTGTGCAAAGGAGTTGTGTGAACATGCAACAAGCCAGCATTTGAGAGAGGAAAAAGACTGAAGATTGTTACTGTGCATTGCTCAGGTTCATGTCCCTAGATGATACACCACCACCTGTTAAACTCAACATGTTGGTAGAGGGACTCGCCTTGTAATGCCACTTTTAAGTTTCTCCCTTGTCTTGGCCAAGCTGTGGCGGCACCACGATATTCTGTTACCTTTCTATGGCACCTCTTCCCTCCACCTCCCCACCCCAAAAAAATCTGCAGCACCCTTACTGTTAAAAAAGAAAGGGAACTACCACCAGGGTCTGATAGGATACCATTAGGATCCTGTCCCCAGTTCAAAAGGAGGATGGGTGCAAAGTTCCAGCCTCTGTTTATCCTAATCACCATCTGCTCCCCAGAGTGAAGCTGTAGTCCTCTCTAGAGATATGTTCATGGTGAGTCACTCTCTGCTGTAAGTAGTTGTCATCAGCTGCATTCTTGTCACCAGGACTCCCTCCTTATTTCTGCTGCCTGCAGAAGCTCCTTGCCTAACTTAACTTGAAAGAACTTTGAAATCTGTTTTGCTTCTGCAATCCCCTGCCTCCCCCCCTCTCTCTCAGATTGCACTCTCCTAGGTAGTTTCTGTTCTCCTGTTTCTTATTCTCTGCAGCTGTTTCCTAATTGCTAGCTGGGTTAACTCCTACCTTTCCGTACAGGCTTACAAACCCTTCCCTGTTTCTTACTCTCTGCAGCTGTTTCCTAATTGCTAGCTGGGTTAACTCCTACTTTTCCATGCAGGCTTACAAACCTTCCCCCTGTTTCTTGCATTGTTCTGCTCTTCCACCTCTTGCTTAACAGCCGTTTTCATCTTCCACACACCTGTGTGTCTCTTAAACTGGTGCCTGAGTTGATGCCTTTTTCCCTATCACAATTGTCTGTTTTACTGCTAAACAGTTCACTTCAGAAAAGCTTCCTTTCTAGTTGATGAGTGACAGAGTATTTTAGACAGCAGTGTTTCCCAGCTAAGATGTAGAATTAGATTAGATTGAGAAGCTTAATTTAGAATGATTTTGTGGATAAGTCTTAACATTCTTATTTTTATAAATACAAAATTACAGTGCTTTTAGGAGCCTGTGGGCAGGGTGGGATAAATGTTGACAGACTGCAGGCAATGGTGTGCATGTGAACACTGCCTTCTGTGGAGACCAGCCCTTTAAGAGTGGAACACTCTAAAATCAAAAGGCACCATCAAATACATCAGATGTGACTGATTTACTCCTATTTGTTGGAGTAGAGTAGATTGAATGCTATTTTATGTTATTAAAACAACTCTGTATGTACACCTCTAAGAAGTTCTTCTGTTGTCTTCCAGGAATGACACAGTACGATATGCTTTGGATGTACTAGCCATCCTGACTGTGGTTCCTAAAATCCAGTTGCAGCTGGCAGAACCTGTGGATGTGTTAGATGAAGCTGGATCTACTGTTTCCACTGTGGGTAAGCTGAATATGGTCCTGATGACTTAAGCCCTTACCAATTGTCTTCTGCTGCATGGTTTTCCACTTGGCTGTTTCTCACCTACAGTGAGACAAGGGTTAAAATAATTCATGTATTCAGAGTTATTGTCAGGGATGCAAATAAATGGGAGTGTAGACTGTGGTTAAAATTGTGTCATGATTAGTGCTGTGGCTGGAGTACAAATTTGAAGGCATGGTCTTTGACTCACACTTGTTTTCAAGAGCTCATTAAACACAGATGGAGGCAAATCTACTTTTGTAATGGGACTGTTAGGTTCCCTCAACTTCTCAGAAATTCGGGTCTCCTGGGGATGTATTTGAGGATATGGGAGAGGAACAATTATTGCTATTTATTTGAGTTATGCTCTAACTGGGTACCGCAGATTCAGTATGCAAATGAACAAGATGTGCCTGAATCAGACCTAAGGCTTATGCATTAAATGGGGCATGACTGTTTTTTAAGAAAAGAAGAATAAAAGGTGGGCAGAGTACTAGATATAGGCAAAAGACAATTTCTTTTGTACAAAACCTTTCTCTAGACAAAACACCAATTCTTTCTTAAATGAGGGTTTTGATCTTCTGAAGAGGACATGAAACTAACAGGAACTCTATCTGAAGGGGAAAAAAGAACAAACCCAAAGTTTCATTTTTGCCCGACTCCTTTTGGAAGCTGTGATATGATTTATTTTTTTCCCTTCATAACATGGTCCCTTCCTTCCTCTCTTTTTCCACTTTGTTAGTATTTATACAAGACAGTTGCTTTCTGAAGTAAGAATCAGAGGTATGCCTGTGCATCT